GGTTGTGGCCACTGATGTGACTTCCTGAGTTCGAATTCCCGTTGTTACTTCCACTTCCGAAAGTTTTCCCGTGGTAATAATATCTTTTAGCAGGAACATCTAAATATATGACGAACGGTGCAATTAATACTCGCATAGTGTGCTCTTACAGGAAAAAGACAATTTCCTTTGATTTTAAATTGGTGAAAGAATGAAATAATGATCTTCGGATCGTGGTATGTTAAGAAATCATTATTGGATGCTTAGGCACAGTGTTTACTAGACTAACAATGAAAGCTTAAAGTGCATATCACCCCTAAAATCAAACTAATTTTATCATTTTCTAGACATCACCAGCTTTCAAATTATATACATACGAGGTCGATTGGATAATTTCTCGGCGAGATATTGAGGCTTAAATGTGCGCTTTTGGGCTTCCTGTGTCAGCGCATTTTAAGGCTTATTATTCTGTCCTCTAGAACTCTGATCCTCTTTGCGGCTATAATAAGCTATCGAAAACTTTACAACTCCAGGAATAGAACTGTATTCACATTCATCCAGTCATARCTCAATTTAGAATCAGAACACTGATAGTAATGCGATAAATAAGAACAGTAAAAACAACGAAACTTCAAARAGGTCAAATATTCTAGATCTGCGCGTGTGTTTGGTTCTCGTCAAGTCAGTGTTCTTAGTGTTTGACAGGTCAAGGGCACCTATCTTGTCGTCATTTCCGGTAGCTCGTCCCAGACCCAAAAATCCCGGCCAGGGCGGGGCCAAAAATATTTTAAAATATGTAAAAAATTAAGAATTSTTCAGAATCAAATTCTGACAACGAGAATAGTTTATTTGATCCTTTAGGGGTGATATTCACTTTAAAGCAGCATGTATAGACACACAGCTGCTTTCTTTCTGGGTCAATCAGAGAACAAATATTTCTATAATATAGCATAGAATGCATTAATCATCATTTTCTTACCACCATGAGGAGGTATAGGCCCAGGTACAGGAAGTACAGGCTTAGATTGGGTTAAGCAAACCAGTGCAAAGACGAGACAAAGGCCCAAGACACTCTTCTGGTTCATGGTTCAAAGAATGTTTTCACAGTCAAATCTATTGAATTAGAAGAAGTAAATAACGCGATTTAATTATGAACATACATTAGTGATCTTCACTTGGTAAGACCTATGATATATAATAAACTTTAAAATGCAACTAACCCCCTGTTTGGTACCAATTTTAAAAATCAGGAATTTATCGGAACMTTTCTTTTCTTCACAGCACGTCTTAAAAATATCAATACTTTTATTTAAAATTGGTACCAAACAGGGATCAGGTGCACTTTAATCATCGTAGAAAGATTTTACCCCGTTTTAGAGTTCCAAAAGTTGCAAATAGCAAGAGGTAAAGTTTGGCCTCTACTTACGGTTTAGTCGAGAGAAATCCTCAGAATATCAGCTCGGTATACTTCTCTGCTTCTTCTCTGACAAAGATCCAGTTAATGGAGAACGATGTTGTTACGTGCTCCTTTTATGTGTTATATCATGAATAATTGCCCTCAATAACAATAACAATAACACGTCACACCAAAACAGTCTATTGTTTTGACGCCAAGGATCATGGTCGCTAGAGGGGAGGGGGGAAAGAATGACAGCACAAAGAAAATATAAACATGATAAAGCTGCATTTTCAAAACGGAGAAGAACGGGAGGAATGAAAAYAAAATACCATTCATATCAAAGGATAAACATCGACACACAAAATATATGGAAACTAGACAATTTGAAGCCAAACTTTCGAAGAGGAAGAGGATTTAGTCGAAAATTCCATTGTTGTCATGGATTCTAMMCYCCTATGTAAACATGCTTGGACGTCAGAGTGTCTAGTAATTATTGATATTTCCAGCTTAATATGGTCTAATCTTATGCTCTTATCTTATGCTCACATTCTACACCTTTTCTTTCTTTCTTTTGTTTTTATTTCTTTTTGAGATGAGTAGCTACATGGATACAATTGTAGATGAAAACAATTTGCTGACTAACGCCCAGAGGAAAATAGTGTTTTCCGATTTAGCGGCTTTTTGCCATCCATTTTTTGTCAAAATGGCAGCCACAAATTCGAAAGAGTTGAAATTAAATGAACAATACCAGCACTAGAAAGAGMATCTTTACTTTACTCATTCTACAAAGATTCATTATGTTTGGTGTTAATTGGCCGAGATTTGCAGGCTGGTTCTATAGATCGCATCCACTGCCATACAAACGTCGGTAAATGTTCCTATTCTCAAAAAAACTTTCAACAATATAATAAGTGACTAATTGATTTGCGTCAATGCCTACTCCGACTTGGCTTACCAATCAATTTACTATATAAAAAAAAGTTAGTTTTTTAAATTTATATCTATTTTTATTTATTTATCCCAAGGGGGTTCTTCAGAATCAATTTACAATATGAAAACATCTTTYCAAATTATCTATACTGTATTTTTATAGCTTTTACCTATTGTTTCTGTTCGTCTTCTTGCGGATTAGACGAATAATTTTTATAGGATAAGATATAGTTGAATGTTTTCCGCTCGTTTTCACTATACTGAGGTAGCGAACAAACTCTTTAGTTCTTGTATAGTATAAATTTCTTTACTATAAATCTTTGCATTTAAAGYATATTCATATATTTTTTCATATTTACTTATATTGTAAATTAATTCGCTGGAATAACCCTTAGAGATAATTGGATAAAGCTTATCGTATTTGTTGTGTTTTATATCGTATTTTATATT